TAAAAAAAGGTTACATTTTCACCACAAAACCCATTTCTCCCCCTTTCCCCCCCCCCCCCCCCATGCAACCTTCCCGGTATTTAGGTGTGAGTGGTATTAGTGTTCGAATTCCTCACTCTTTTAGACAAAAATCCATTCAAATGCCCTTTCCATCCTTGATTCAATTTTAAGGTGATTAAATGCCACACCCGGGGAAAAACCAGTAAAAATGGGAGAATAATATTGAAAAATCTAGAAATTTGCAGTGTTACTTTAGCCTGAATACTTAATTAGTTGACAAGGCTCTTCTCTGAGTAAAATTGAAGAGAGCCCAGAGCTCTGAACCTGTGAAAACTAGGGAGCCTGGCATTTGATTCCTGTGAAAAAGAAAACAGAGGTTTTCTGGTCACCTTGAACAGGTTGTTCAAAGCTATGTTAATTATCGATTCATATACTTTTTTACTTTATATTTTGTTGTACACAGAGGAGTTCGTGGCGCATGGATCCAATGTGTCTTGTTTATCACTGGGTCCCTCGTCAGGACGAGTAATGGTGACCGGTGGAGAGGACAGGAAAGTCAATATGTGGGCTGTAGGAAAACCCAATGTGATCTTGGTAAAACACTTTCTTCTGCTATCAGTACTACACTTTTGTCATATAAAATTAAGATTATCAAAGATAAGTTTTTTGGTTTGCCATTCTAAAAACCATTGTATAGGACAGAATATGGCTGCACCTTTGGCCAGCTATACACTTAGTTGGAAATATTCATTAAGTGAAAAGTGGTTTTTGGGGAAAAACATCTTAACAACTATTATTTCAGTATCGGTAGGTGTCAGTGCAATCTAGTATGTTGCAGTAAGCACTAGTGACTGCACATTTAGTAGCAACTCACTAGTACCAACATATTTAACATTATTGTCACTGGCCATTATTGCAGACCCTGTCAGGACACACTAGTCCTGTGGAATATGTTAAGTTTAATAGTGGCGAGGATCTGGTTATAGCAGGATCTCAGTCTGGAACACTCAAGATATGGGACCTAGAAGCTGCTAAAAGTAAGTTTAGATCTTGTTAGAGAGCTACCTGTACAGTCTGCATGTCACACATGCCTATAAATATGTTGGCAGGACTTTGCCCTGGCTTTCATTTAGCTTGCGAGCAAGCTCTCTGGGCACTCTGGAGGTAGGGCAGGCAGGGTGGAAAAAGGAAGGAGAGCTTGCAACTACATCTCTGGAATTTGAATATCTGCATCGAAAAAGTCCATGCAAAATGCTGATTTGTGGGGATGACATCAGCAATGACGTCATTATGTTTGTTACGTGTTTTTCAATGTTTGCTTACATTCTTGTCCATTTCCGCTTTGCGCTGATTGGTTGAAATCTGACAGCTCAGTCGATGGGGAGCTACAGGGGAATTTAAAGTGAAATTAAAATTCCAGAGACGTAGTTGCAAGCTCTCCTTCCTTCCCCACCCCGCCGCAAGAGCACCCTGGAGAGCTTGCTCACAGGCTAGCTTTTATTGATGGTGACTACATGCTACCAAATTTACATGGTAGGTGTTGCTGGACTTTTCAATCATTTCCGTTACATTAGGCTTACGAAACCCCTCATTCAAACCCCCTCCTCCTCTTTGATTCTTCCCAGAGCAAACAGCCTACGGTACATATACATGTACCCTATTGGGTACATGTGCATATATTCCAGGCTACTGTGAAGGATTGCCAAAATGATAATGAAAGAGGTGGATGATTAGAAATGGTAAAATAGCATCACTTAGGGTCCAGACATAAAATACATGAATGATTTTGTTATGCAAAACAAAACACAAGAAACAAATTGATTTCTACTTCCTGCCACATTTTATCCGTATGGAATAATCATATTATGTATTGTCATGTAAAGCAGCATGATACAATTGTTATTTTTCAGTCTATCAACTGTTGGTTTTCTTGCTGAGTGATGTAATCATTTTCATTGATTGTTTTGGTATATAGTTGTTGTAATCACTAGGTAATGTTGTTTACTGAAAAGTTCCTCTAAAAGTTGGAGAGTTTAAGTGTTTTATTGCACTTTGTAGCAGCTTTTTAATTGAGGACTCCTGTTTTAGTCGTTAGAACCCTTACAGGACACAAGAGCAGTATACGAGGTATAGATTTTCACCCCTATGGAGAATTTGTCGCTTCAGGCTCTTTGGATACAAATGTTAAGGTTAGCTGAATGACTGTCAGTTGGTGTAAATGATAAATAAATAAATTTAATGCAAAAACCTTCACGTGTACATGTAAAATTTTGTTCAATTTACAATGCTCATAGCATACACTGGCAATGGGCAATTTTGCACATTAATTTTAATTTTTTAAAGAGTATTCATACCCAATAATGTAATGGTTCAATAAAAATTTTTTCATCCTTAGTCAAGATTTAAATTTTTTTGTGCATGGTAAGTGTTATTATTTATTTGTAACAAAGGAAAGAATAATTATTGAAACAAGAAATTAAAGACTTAAAGTGAAAGGTTAGTCTTAATTGAACCAAAACATATACTCAAGATAACTGATTTCAAATTTCATCTTTTCAGCTGTAAGTGTTATAGTGCAACCTGCTCCAATAGCAATTTCTGTTGTAAGCTATTTTAGCCTTTCTGGTATAAAACTTCATCCCCTGTGATGAAATTGACGATAAATTTATGCTTCTTTCCTTTGTAGCTTTGGGATGTAAGAAGAAAAGGTTGTATAGTCACATTAAAGGTACTACTTGAAACCAAGCAAGTCATTAAACTTATGGAGTGTTACTTACTGAAAGATTTAAGTAGTATTGAACTTAAACTTCTAGGGCCATGGGTTGAGAATATCCCCCGGCTACTTTAGGCATTACCCCTGGTTACTTTCAAGGGAAGCAAAGAAAAATGAGACAGCTGACCAATTCCATGACTACTAATTGTGTAATAACCCAAAAAGTTGAAATCTTAGTGACAGCCTGTCTGTGGTTTAAAATGATTAAAAATTTAGTATCCTTGTGGCCTACTTATTTGCATTGTCAGGGCTCAAAATAATGGCCGGTCAACGGACAATGCCTGGTTTAGATGACCATTTTAGTTGCCAGTCATTTTGACTGGTCAAGTGTATGGCTTTCAAAATAATAAGAAACTAAAAAATATATATTCATTCACATTAATTATGTAAATTACAAACAGTTTAAATTGTAAAATATTTTAGCTACTTGCAGTTATAAATTTGGAGAATACAGATAAGACGGTCTCATTCTGGGGCTTTGTGAATGTCATTTATTGTATTGTTGCAAAATAAACATACTACTCTTGCTGAAAATGGTAAAAATTTAATAAGCACCCAGCCTCGAATAAGCGCCCACCTCCAATAAGTGCCCACTCTCAAGGTCCAAGAATTTAATAAGCACCC